CTACTAGGGGCTCCTGGCATCGCTACTAGGAGCAAGGACGCTACTAGAGGCTCCTGGCATCGCTACTAGGAGCAAGGACGCTACAACAAGTCGTTCTGCCTCCGGTTGCGGCATGTTTGCAGTGACATCTTGCTCTTCATCGGTCTCGACTACGTCAAGCGAATCAACCACCGCTGGAGAGCTTTCAAAAGCAGCGTCAGCCCTCATTTGTGGAAACGACCAGCCTGGAACATGTACACATTATGCTGTCCTTTTTTTCAACAAGCCGTAAAAGGTGAGCCGTAAGGAATTTCAGGGGGCGGTAGGCCTTCCAAACGAGCCACATACCTTCGAGGGGTGGGGGTTTCGCGGCCACCCTCTGTGAATCGGAGATGCGGCCGCAGCCTGGGTTCTCCCATTTTTTTGTGATGCAAACCGACAAGAACACAAACTGTGAGAAAGAGAAAGGAAAACTTCCTGTCCATGAACAAGAAACTCTTGCTCAGCCGTGCTTTCCAGTTTCACGCGCTTCCAGCGTACGTGCCATGGAACAAGCGGGTGGCCAAAATGAGGAAGAGGTGCTATGATACAAGGTGGAGTCTTTTCTTGTCCACGGGACTCGCCACCTACCCTGTTCTAGTGCCATGTGGTAACGTGATTTGTTCCATACAATTCCCTGTGCAAGAAAATGAAAGCAATGAGTCTACATACCTAATGTCATCCGTGAACCACTCAGATTCACCAGTTAGCTCCCTTCACCGACCAACTGTAGAGGTAAAGAGAAACGAAAGAGACAAACTGCTTGGTGACCTTTCACCCAAACATTCAGGGTATTCAACATGCGAGATGGTTTTGTATTGGTTTTTGCAAGCAGTGGTGAGCCTTTCAAATGCCTGGAGCATTGGAACCATGAACAAGACTGGACAAGACCACACACACAATCCAAGCCAGCCCAACAGCCAAGCCAAGCCAAAGGAAACCAAACCCTGCACAACCGTTGAGTAAGAGTAAGTAAAGCGCTGTTGAACACAACCTTCGGTGTGTTCTCACAGGACCAGGCGCTAACCCCTTGAATCTGTCCAGTACATAAAGATGAAAAGTCATGCAAGCTTCACAAATCAGTATAATTACCAGAAAGGAATCCGTAACCCTATGCTATGCAAGATGATTTGGAATGGAACATGTACTGACAAAAGTCATTGGGCCGGCACTTTAGCTGGGCTTAAGCGCCTTAGCTACGGCCTTGAAAACCGAGGTCCAAATTGCGGTGTTCCCTTCTTGTGATGTAATGCCATGTGAATGTCGATCCGCGGACTTGTTGCGGTCTTGACCTTTCTGGGGTTGCTAGTGTGCTCTCAGCAGTGCGTCACCTCCACTGTCAACTTGGAACATGCCACTGTCGTGACCATTGATTGTGACGATTATGTCGTCACAATAATTTGCCCTTTAGCACAGGGTGAGAACTGCACAATGCAGACGATGCCAAAGGAGAGTACCACTTCTAGCACGACAACCACAACTTCCAGCACGACAACCACATGCACCACCTGGACAACAACATCCGTCTCCACAACCTCTCGAACTTCATATTCGAGGACCTTCACATCTAGAACACGAACCTCTTCATCTTCAACTTCTTCCACCACCTCCACATCTTCTTCATCTTCAACTTCTTCAACTTCCAGCTCTTCGACCTCGGAAGTGACCTCGTGGACACCATGTACTGCCATGATGAGCTCAACAACCTCATCAACAACCTCTTCCACTACGACCACCTCATCATCATCGAGTTCCACCACCTCAAGTACCACTCTTCCAGATGGGCTTATTTGGATAAATGGTCACCTGATCTTCACGTCGGATGTGATGTCTGAAGAGCAAGCAGCAGGTGCTGTATCGGATGCTTTTCAAGCATTGCTACAAGCAGTTGCTGTCAGGGTCAGTGCTGAAGTCTTGTCAGTGACAGCTGGCGGTGGTGGAGTTTCCACCATGGTCTGGCGAACTTCTTTTTCTCTGGCCTCTTTTCCCGAAGGCGCAGATGCCATGCGCGCAACCTTGCAGAGTCTACGGCGCCGCATTGAGACCCAAACCGCAATCACCTTCTCAGAGCAGCTCCGGAGTGATCTACTCGCCAGAGGTGCTCGACCTGGCAGAAATTTTACTGTAGACTCCCTAGTTCTTGAGCAGGAGGTGCTTGATGAGAACAGTGTGGAGAATGCTTCCATCGGATGGTGGTGGCTGGTGATTGTTCTTGTAGTGGTAGGCGCGACAGCAATGATCCTGTATGCTTTAAAGCATGCCTTTCAGCCAATCCCGCCACCCATGATCGTTTCGAACGCATTGTGGGAACTCGAGACCGAACGATGGGAACTCGCAGAGAAGGTGATCCACTCTCCAGAGCCTCCAAGTGTACCAAATGAATGGAAAGCTCAATGGGTAGCCTCAGAGAAGGCATATGGGTCCTCAAGGTTTTATGATTTGACTTTTGGGGCTGGAGGGCGCTTGGAAGGCTTGGGAGAAGGACCGGATGGTCCGTTCCACGTCATAGGAGCCTTTGATACCAGTGACGGCAACGTGCGTTGGCGGGAGAGCCAGGAAAGCGGTCCAGTGGTGGAGTGCTACGGACAATGGGATGGGACGCGCATCGATGGCTTTTTTGCAATGTTTGATGTCTCAACCCTTCCCCAGCAGATTGGCCAAGGGCATTTTGCTTTGTCAACTAAATCCGCCAAAGCTGCGAGATTGGGTCAGAATCTCACCTTTGCAAGCCCTGATCCCGATAAGGGAGGACAATCCGACATGGTCTGAGCAAAAGATTGAGAAAGAAGATCGAGCTTGCTTTTGTGCATGGCAGTGCGTTATACTGTGTGGGCTATAGGTCCAGCCATCCAAAAGGGAAAAACAAGAGAAAGGGAATTCTAGAACAGAGGTTTCCTTGCAGAACCCTAACGTTCGTTTTTGCAACCTTTTGGAGGAAAAATTTCTTTAAGCTGTTTTTCTATTCTACCCGCCTTAACGGTTTCTTTGAAAGAAAAGGTGTGAAAGAAAGCTGGAGGTCAGGATCGTCAGGTCCTCGACCATTTACAAAGCGACTTTGCAGAGCAACGCCAAACTTGGAATGATATCTTAGTCACAACATTGTTTGATTGGAGGCCATCGCTCTTAGGTTGGAGTTCAAGTCTACTTAAGTTTGTTAACTCTTTGCCTTTCTCTGGCCCAGTTTTGGCCCAAGGGAGGCGGTGTGGCTCCGCAGGGCTCCTTCTTGTGGCTGTCACCCCTCAAGGGGGAGGCGAGGATTCATGGGAGCATCATGCTCAACCTCCGATCAACAATATTACTATATATATTCAATATGCAATATATACAATAATATGTCGTGATGTATGCGTTGTGATGCTTCTGCGGTGGGTTGGGAATGAGCAGTCTTTTTGTCGCTGGGACTACTGTTGCGAGGCTGACCATGGGAAGTGAGGAGCAAGCAGAGGCAAGAAGGTCACGATCAGGTGTGTTTTTCCTTTTCAAGCCCGCTCTCCAACCTGTTGATATTTGGGAGCAATAGACTCGCATTTCGTTCAGGGCCCAGATGGTGATGTAGTCGATGGATTGGCATGAAATGCAGATGCTCGGTGGTTTTGTGGGGGTTTGAAGTGTTCAGGTGTGGTGTTTGAGCTTGAAACGTCGAGAGGTTTCCATGTCCATGGGCTTGGACTGGAACTCAGAGACGGACACGTTTTGGCTCTCAGAGCTTTGAAGGCCTTGGTTTCTCGGCTTTCTCTCGAGCCTGAGATGCGGCACTCGTACTTTTGATCAAGCCCCGAAACCGGAGCTACTCTCAGAGCGCCAGCGCGCATCGAAGAGTTAAGTTAAACGTTCGACATATATAATACTACAGACAGTACATAATCACTTTGTATGAGAATCATGTGATGCACATTGTATGATAACGATAAAATTGCATTTCTGACAGTGCAGAGCTTTGCTTGGACAATCTTCTACACTGCTCTGCAGAGCCGAACCATGGCAGCAGAGCTGCGGTTCTTCCTGGAAGGTGGTCCGTGCCTGGGCGAAGTTTGGCTTTGTGGAATCCTTAAGCAAAGTAGGTGCCGAAGCCGGTTGATCCCGTGAGAGCATATTTGGACACGAAGACACACTAGCCACAATAGGGTCAGGTTCAATGTAAACGAGAAAAACTCCCTGCCAAGCTGGTAAAATCCGTATGTACATATATATATATATGACTCTGTATGAAAATAAATAAGGCGGAAAATAGAAGGTAAAGGGCCTTTTTTTATGAGCCCCCGTGGTTCCTAGATGTTTAGGGAAACTGAGCGAATGTATCGAAGAGGGAACTGCTACGGCTCTTCAACTGTGCTCTGAGGTTTGGCTCCAGGAAGCAGGCGTTCCATTTGAAGGGGGATGGCTCCTACATAGAAATCGGCCGAGCAAAGCAATGCCAGGCAGACTCGTGGGAGAGACACGATGAGTCACGATGAGACAAGATTTTTGGCACGGTGTTTGTTGCACAACAGTGCCACAGGTGCGGATGTTGCAGACTGGGGTGTCCTTCAACCATTGCAAACTGATTCTGCCGCTTGGTGAGAAAAGTGGCAAAGCAGATGTGGATATTTCAGGTCTGTGTTGCTAGACTAAACGACCTAAGCAGAAATGTGCTGAGTATAGACTTCCCAATGTTGACTCCTCTTTTTGTTTAGTTTAGTCATTCGCTTTCGCGCTTCGTTGCTTGGAGACCGTGTCAGGCACAAAAAAGGTCCTGGCCTCACAGAGTCTTCCTGTCTTTGTGATCCTTTTGGCAGGTCCTTCAGTGTCCTTTCAGCCATTGGTTTTGAGGCTCAGACATCATCCTTAAGATCCATGACAGCTCCAGAAATGGCACTGGAGTTCGGAGCTATCGTCATTCAAAATCTGACAAGGATTACAAGGAAATGCACAAAGGAGACGAAGAGGCGAGACAAGATTGAGATCAGAATTGGGACAGAGCGGCAATTGACGGGTTTGTTTGCACATGTCTTCACCATTTGGCATCATACGCATCATGCCTCGAAGGTTTTGCAGCATGGCGCGCAGATCTTACTGCCTTTCCGTGAGAAGGCCAAAGAGACGGACACGCGCACAGTGGGAGCCCCGGAGTTGTTGCTTGAGCCGATCGGTCTTGACCCTTACTTAAGACCTCACTATGTGGAGGCCATCGCTAGTAGGTTGGAGGCCATTGCTTCTAACTTGAGGGCATTGCTTATTTTGGATTGAGGCCATTACTGTTTCGGCTGGTAGTAGGCTGAAAAACTTCTGGAGCATCTGTCAGGTCTTAACCATTCTCTTTGACCTTCCAGACGTGGCTTAGCGAAAGAAGAGCGCAGAGAGCGATGTGAGCGAAGCTTTTTCTTCAAAGAGAAGTAAATTTGGTCGTTTGGATCGTCGCTAGCCGCTAGATGTTGAGGCCTATGACCCATCTACCAACCGTGGACGGTGGATCTATCAGGCCGCAAGCATGAGATAATGGGATAATTTGGTAAGAGGAGATAGGGAAGGTAGGGTGAAACGAATACTATTTCCTGCAAATGTTCCGAGAAATTTGAGACCAGGAGAAACTAGGAGAAGGTGGCCTGGCGACCGTGTATAAAGCACGGGATGCCCGCCTCTCAGTGGTTCAGAGGATGGGCTACATGTTCAAGCTCTTTGTCCTTGTGTTTGTGCATATGAACCGCGATTCTTATGCCTGCACCATGGAGGGATCTCATCCCAGTTTGATGTTTGATGCTTAGGTCAAAGGAAATCTTGGACAAGTGGCAATAAAGATCTCAAAGTTCAAAGGGCTGCCGGCAGTGCCTTGACACCTAATTACTACACACAACCATGTCGAGAAAGACAACTAGTAGCGTCCTTGCTCCTAGTAGATGGCCAGGAGCCCCTAGTAGCTTCTTGCTCCTAGTAGTACGGCCAGGAGCCCCTAGTAGCGTCCTTGCTCCTAGTTTGTTGGTTTCTTGTGCTTTTTCAACAGGTCATTGTTGAAATCGGCTACCTAAGCAGATGAGTTATTGTGAGAGATTGATGAGACAGAGCGATTAATGATTATCCGCATGTCTAGCAAGGGATCTCCTCATTTGCCCTTTTGAATCTTGGAGGTGCATACGCAGAACCGCCACATCTACGCTCTGCACCGGGAAGCTCAGTGGTCCCTGCAATGCCTTCACAATGAGAAGGACCAATCGTACAATGCCAGAGGCGTCCCGCCATTCAAAGTATTGTGAATATTGCCTTTGCTTTTTGCCACATGCGTGAAGACGTCAAAAGTTTTATACACATGCTTCAAGGGAGGAAGGAAGTTCATGTTGTGCCTCCAGCTTCTATTGTTTCAATTCTTTGAGCGTGGAACTTTGCAATTCTGAGGTGCCAGTTTCTTTGTACGATATTACGAGGACCACACGGGCTGCTTGCCTCCAGTGAACATTCCTTGAGCGGATGCTGGATGCCGGTAGCTTGCAAGTGGAAGTATTGACTCCTCAGGTTTTGAACACTACTTGGACACTTTCGATGACTTTGATGAAGAACGATCGTACTTTGAAGATTCACACTTTGCGACGCTTGGCAGACTCAAGCAGGGGCGTACCGTCCAGAGGGTGGAGAATTTGAGCTATATTTGTAACAGCACAAGCTCTCTTCCGAACGTTCTAGGGCATAGGGTTTCCCTTGCACCAATTGTGGGAAGCTGTGATGGACTTCTTGTGGCAGCTTAGGTGGAATGAATACAGCTTTGACAAGAAGGCCAGTGAGCCGTATGCATCTTGGCTTGAGTTCACATCCAGATTTGTCATTATCATGCCTGATTGACAATTGAAGCATCACTGACGGTTGACCTAATCAGGACGCTACTAGGGGCTCCTGGCCTTACTACTAGGAGCAAGGACGCTACTAGTTTGTCTTTCTCGTGTCTTTTGTCAGGTCGTCATGGAGCTGATGGAGACCAACGCCAAATTGTTGCAGGCTGCGATTGATGGAAGCCCTCCATTGAACCTGCTGGAAAAGAGGATTATTCTCAGGCCAGAGGCTTTTCGGGTATGTCTTGGTGGATGGGTATTTGACAAGTGTTTTCCCCCAAACAGTTTACTGTTAGGGGTTTTCAATTCTTTCTTAAGATGTGTCCGCCCTTTGTTTCACTGCTGGTGTCCGCCCTTTTCCGCTGGCCATTTAGCATTTCTATTCATTTGTCTCCCAGATCTGTCGCTGCTGGTGTCCGCCCATTTCTGTTCATTTGTCTCCCAGGTCTGTCACTGCTGTTGTCCGCCCTGTTTGGTGGTCACTGTGTCCGTATGTGTCCGTCGTGTCTCCCTTTTTTCCTTTTGTCTGCCTTCTTGTCTCCTTTCATTGTGTCCGCGTTGTCTCCCTTCTGTCTCCGGTCTTGTCTCCCTTCTTGGTGGTCACTGTCTCCATCTTGTCTCCCTTCTGTTTCCTTTTGTCTCCTTGTTGTTGGTGACTGTGTCCGTCTTGTCTCCCTTCTTGTCTCCCTTCTTGTTGGTCATTGTGTCCGTCTTGTCTCTCTTCTGTTTCCTTTTGTCTCCCTTCTTGTTGGTCATTGTGTCCATCTTGTCTCCCTTCTTGTTGGTCATTGTGCCCGCCTTGTCTCCCTCCTGTCTCCTTTTGTGTCCCTTCTTGTTTCCCGTTTTGTTGGTCACTGTGTCCACCTTGTCTCCCTTCTGTTTCCTTTTGTTTCTGTTGTTTCACGCTAGGATGTCTAATACATGTCTCACTTACCTACCG